GCCAGCTGGGAACTGCTGCTTGATGTTGTGCTTCATTTCGCAAAATGCCAAGGCACGTCGAATGAGCCCGAGGCAGACATCTGTTGTGCAGGGGTGCCTGGCCATCAAGTGGCAGGCACTGTCCTGTGCCACGCGAACGCTCACCAAATACTCTGCCCTGACCAAACCCTGCGCACCAGCTTGCTGCCACAACAGAGCCCCCCCGTTAAAATGGTGAGAATGGGGGGGGGGGTAACCCCCGGTGCCACCTATTTCCGCCACCTATTTTGCTGCAGTGGGGGGTGGTTTAGGAAATAGGTGGGAAATGATTAGAACAGCAGCATGACAGCCCTTTATCTGCATGGGCAGTATCGTAGTGGTATTATCATCCCCAGCGTCACCCTTATATGAACTTATGGACTGCGAACGATAGAAAGATAGGGAGGGAGAGAGGGAGGGAGAGCGAGAGCGAGAGAGAGCAGGGAGAGACGCACGGACTGATGCAGGGAGGGGTCCGGGGTCGCTAGGAGGCCCAAGCCTCTTACACGCTACGGTTCCCCCACCTGTTCCCACCTATTTATACCTACCTTATAAGGCTTGGGGATGGTGGCTGCGGCAAGGAGTCCAACATCAAGGATAAATAGGTGGAGTCAAAGGGGGGGTTGGGGGTCGCCTACGAGGCGCAAGGCTCTTGCACGCTACGGTCCCCCCCACCTGTTCCCACTTATTTATTATTAGCTAACAAGGCTTCTAGGCAAAGCCATAGCTGCTGGGCGAGCAGCACATATTTTAGAAATAGGCTAGCTCCAAGAACCTGCCTGAGTAGTAGGCTAGCAGGAAGGAGTCCAGCGTCAAAGAGAAATAGGTGGAGTCGAACGGGGGGTTGGGGGTCGCCTACGAGGCGCAAGGCTCTTGCACGCTACGGTCCCCCCACCTTTTCCCACCAATTTATTCCTGGGTTAGAAGGCTTGGGGAAGGCTTCTAGGCAAGGCCATAGCTGCTGGGCTAGAAATACATACCTTAGTAGTAGGCTAGCAGCAAGGAGTCCAGCATCATGGATACATAGGTGGGATCTAGCGTGGATTCGGGGTCGCCTTCGCACGCTCAACCCGAAACTTGAGCCACTCAGCACACAACCTTCTGCGCTGCAGTCCCCCAAGACCCCCAACATATTAAAAACATCGAAATAGGTATGCCACCTATTTCCCCCCCCGTCACCCACCCCCCCACCCCTCCCCCCTTAAGGGGGGGCTCTGCCACAACGCTTTTCACGCCAGAAGATCTAGAAGGGCGTGTACGCCCACTTCCACAGCAGTCCTGGTGTTTTCACCACAGTGTCCTACTTCCCACCCAGCTTCTGCAGTTTTGCAAGACACTTCTTCTTTGGCCATCGAGCAACCTCTAAGAAAAAATTGCGTCAGACTTCGAAGGGCGGACTGACTTCGTCTCTTATTGGAAGAGGACGCTTGCCCGCTGTACTGCAGACCCAACTTCTTGAAGGCACTGTTCACGCCACAACATTTGTTGTAGTGCTTCTCCCGACCATTGCTGCCTTTGGGCTCTTCGTTCTTTAACTTGCCCTTCATAAGCAGTGACCCAAAACTGCACAAACGACATACCGGAAAGTGTACTACAGCCTACAAGCACCTGACATGCATTTGCAATCCCTTCTCGAAACGCTTTTGCTTCTGCACGTCCCTCCCCTGGCCAGCGGCATTTGCAGGCTGAAGTAGGAATTACGGAACGTCTGCGAGAAAGACGATCGAACTGTGTCCGCGGAGACCGCCCGATTAAATCAGCATCCACGCTGGCCTTTCGCGCTCTTGTCCCACCACAGAGGACACAGACACAGAAGGCATGCTTGGTCTTTCCTCTGTCGTAAAAGCAAACGAGAGTGTTTTGGACATCTGCTCGACTTGACTGGCCTCAGGGTCCGCGGAAGCCGTTCGGATCTGCGCTGGTGCTTTTGAAGTTCCGCCAAAGCAGCCTCCAAATCCTCGTTCTCCCGCTCCAACTCCATTTGATAATTGGCCCATTCGCGATCACTGAAAGAGAACGCGCCCGAGTAAGTGAACCTGGGGCCGCATATGTCAAGATTTGGGACTTGATGGTTTCGGGGTTGCGAATCACGGTTTTCGGGTGTAGGAATTTCGAATTCTTTAGGCGTTAAAGGAGTATACGACCTCGGGCGTAGGGTCCAAAACTATGTCAAGGCTGCAACGGAATATGTCCTGCGGGCATAGCTTATCCCTCATCCCATTTCATTAGCACACACAGAATTTTGAAAACTGTATCGTCCTCCACATCCATGGAGCAACTTCCAGCATTGCCAACACAGTCCTGCGACAATTGCGTCCCCGGAGCGAGGACACCAACACCCTTCGGGATGGCCTCTGTTGCAGCATTGCCGACCTCCGACATCTGGACTGCCCGTGCCGCCCTCGGGTAAAGCAAGCTGCCTCCAGACCACTCGATCACCGCATGGGTTGCGCGCTGGTCCGGCCTCTCGGCAATCGCAGCCCAGCGCGCCTTCGCGGCGCTGGGACGCAACCTAACACGCTGTATCCTACACCAGCTGCATCGGGCGCTGCAAAGTAGGGCGCGTCGGCACAGGGACCTCCGTCGCGAACTTGACAGGGTGCGTGGAAGACAAAGATCCAAGTAACATCAAGTTACCTCTTGATTCTGCAATTTCGTGAATATGCCGAGTGTGCACTCATAGCCCGTGAAATCCGCAACTTCCCGAAACCTGGCCTGCCTGCCGGGCGCGAGTGACAAAAAACTCTTTGATTTTGCCCGCTGACACATAACTCCCGAAGCGGGACGTTTTGGACGGAGGCGTGCTTGGAGCACAAACTTCTACTTCAAGACTACGATGTGCAAAGTAAAGCGTGTCCAACTGTTGTCGAGAAGAAAAATGAGCAACACAGCTGCCACTTCAGGGAAGGAGGATTGCGTTAGACCCGCAACTTCGCGGGACAGGTCTGCAGCCATTGCCATGGGAGGATTCCACGGCAATGCTCCCTTTCTATCTTCCGTGAAAACTGCATAGTCAGGTCGTCTGAACGCTCGAAGGCGGCCCTGTAAGGGCACAGGGAAAACAATCTAACTATTGCAAAACTACGTTGTCAATCGGTCTACCGCTCATTTCTGGGACGAAGCATGAAATTCACATATCATCGCGGCAGCTGCTCCAAATCTCAGCGTTTCTTGCAATCTCTTTCCCACCTCAATGTCACAGAAGTCTGCAGACACCACTTGCATCAAAGCTTCCAGCCAAGGGATGCTCCAAAAACCTCCCAAGCAAGGAGGCCAAGGCCGATCACTTGCTCGCAGCAGAAGTGCATCGCTCCATGCCATCAAAAATTTGAATGAAGGAACAAAGGCTTGCAGGTCGAGCTCCGCCAATGCGTCAAGTTAGAGTTGACGTGGCCAAGAAACATCCAGAGGGTAGCTATGCGCGTCCTCCAACTCTGAAGTTCCAAGACGCAACATTAATTTTTTCAAAAATGATTGCACACACACACACACATGCTTGACACGACATCAGTTCTGAAACCATTATGCATTTTGCACACTGAAAAAAGGTGTCCGTGCCAGCTGACGACCGCAGACGGCTCAACTTAGTCGTTTACGGCGCCACGCCGCGGGGAGGCGCACTGTGCTGCGATGCGACTCTCGTCTCACCTCTCGCACGGACGGGGCATCCATCCACAGCCGGGCGCCGCTGATACGGACGGGGCCGTGTTCAGGGTAGCCGAGCGCCGCAAACGGAGCACATACCCGGAGCTCAGCAGCGGAGGACCGCAAGAGCTCGTTGTTCTGGGCTCGGTAGTCGGCGGGCGCTGGAACAGCGAGGTTGGCCCCTTCGTGCAGCAGCTCATCCGCGTCCGGTCCCAAAGAGCTCCGCCAGCTCTCCGCCGCGCGGCCGCTGCGGGCTGGTCGCGCCGTTGGTGGGGCTTGCTGGCAGTTGCCGTGCAGCGGGCCGTCGCCAGCACGGCGCTGGTTCTGAGCCGATACAAGACCTTGTTCGGCACGGCCACAAACTGCCCGCAGTCCGTGCTGCCGCGCAGAACCGTTGTCCCTCGAAAGTGCTCCAAAACCGGCTTGGCTGCATTCCAGAGGGTGCAGAGGCAGCAAAAGGCCGAAGCGAAGGCCGAGTCTGTGGAGGATGCCCCCGACCTGAGAGCCATCATGGACAATCCGCGTCAGGGGGATGAGCCACCCCTCGAGCGAGTGCTCGAGCTCGCCGGACCAGCGGCGAGCTCCAGTCGCTTGTGTGACAACACGCATTCGCATCTGACACAGCATAATTATGCATCGACTCGGGTCTTGTGGCCCACATGTGAAGTCAGCCAGTTCAGTATGTACTGCCATAATTAGAATGTGATTGCTGTAACTTACTGGCTCAAGACGAGCTAGTCAGCACAAGATTGTTTGTGCCGCTTGATGGGAAAACATTCCTGCTGAACGAGTGACGGAGGTGATGATCGTGGTGATGTTGTTTCTTCCGGCAGTATCCTGCCTTCGCCAGCTCATCCGTTCGGGCCAGATTTCGACCCTTCCATACATGAATCTGGCGAAGCCCCGCCTCGTTTAGACAACCGTGCACCTACCACGCCGGATGAACAGCGTGGCCTTGTGCGTGAGCGGAGCCGCCAGACGACGCCATCTGATGCCCCAGCGCACAAATATGTCACTCTTCCGCGGGAGGAGCGTGGGGGCGCCGACGGTGTCCATCCACATGAGGTTTCAGAGCCCACTCCGGATGTAGTGGATGCAAACCCTCCTCCCGGCTCAGAGTCCGAGCTACCGTCATCGTTTGGTGAGGCTTCATCTTCTAGCACAGAGCGGCGTCATCAGGTGAGCATGCTGCAGCTTCATTTGCTATGAGTGCTTGCAAAGTGTTTGGCTTTGTTACAAAGAACATTGAACCGTGGGATCCTTTGTATGATTGTCCTGCAGCTAACAAAGCCAAGCAGGGTGAAATCAACAATCTGGTATCGAATGATGTTTTGGACATGGCATCCTTGGATGAGTGGGATGCTGTTCGTGCAAAGGACCCATCGGCGCAAATGGTTGGCGGAAAAATGCTGATAGGCATTAAGGACTACGAAGAGCTCGGACAGTCCAGCCTAGATGATGCAAACTGGAAGGCCAGACTTGTGTGCACTGGAAACTTCATTCGTAATGCTGCCGGGCATGTTGTATGGTCGGTTGACAGCATGTATGCGGCGCCCGTTGATCTTCACAATGCTCGACTTGTCGTGGGCTTCGGTGCCAAGCGTGGCTGTGTGTTGCAAGCGGACGTGAAATCCGCTTACTTGCAGGCCTTGTTAGGCGGCAACGCCACATGGTTGAAAATCCCCAAGTCTTTGATGCATCTCTTCCCTCAGCGTGCACGATCCATGCGGGAACCCGTTGTGCGCTTGATACGTGCTCTTTACGGGCACCCGCGTGCTGGATCCGATTGGGATGCCCATCTTCGTTCACAGTTGCTGAAACATGGTTGGCAGCCGATTGCCAATCAGAAGGGTTAGTGGTTGTCGCCAGACAAAACTTGCATCATGGCCGTGTATGTGGACGATGTACTTCTTGGGGGCGAACCCAAGCAAGCAGCCAAGCACATGCATAGCCTAATGGGTTTAGTTAACATGGGAAAGGTTCACAACATAGATCGGTTTTTAGGGACCTCGTACCGTTTGAACTTTGCTTCACATCAGACCGTGACCGTTACAGTTGCCCAGCCGGCATATGCAGCGATGCTGTTGCAGCGTTACAAAACGGCCCGCGCCATCCAAGGTCCCCTGAGAAAGGTTGACACGCCCATGACGGATGAAGATCTTGAGTCCGAGTACGGTCATTTGCCTTCGAAGCAGACCGACGCAGCTGTACATTTAGGTGGGTTGCTTTTCTTAGCTAGGTCCTCACGCCCCGATATGATGTTTGCTACGGGTTTCTTAGGCCGATATGCTTCGAAATGGTCGGTTGCAGCTGAAAAGCGAATGAGGCGTTTGTCTGAGTACCTGGAGTCCACCCTAAATTATGGCATTCTCTGGAGGCTTCGTCGTTCCAACCTTTCTGACATGATGATGAAGGTGTTGGTTGATGCCGACCATGGGGGATGTTTGGACACAGCCCGCAGCACCTCAGGGTGGAATGTATACCTATCCAGTTCCGATGGCTCGACGCATGCACTCATTGATTGGGCATCGCGCCGCCAGCAGTCCACACCAAAATCGACTGGCGAGGCCGAGACGGTCGCCGGTGCAGAATGTTTGCAAAGCTTCCTGCCGATTTTGGACGTGGTAGAAACCGTTGTGGGCAATCCAGTTCCTTGTGCCCTGCTCACAGATTCTGATGCTGCACGTGCTGCAATGAAGAACGGCTACAGCCGGAAGATGAGATATCTCAAGAAGACCCAACGCATTTGTTTGGGGTTCATCGGCGATGCCATTCAGGAAGCTTGTACTGTAGAACGTGTAGATACAGATGACAACGATGCTGATTTGCATACAAAGCCGCTGGCACGACAAGCCTTTCACAAGTTCCGTTCGCAAATGGGCGTCTGTGACGTCTCATGTGCATGAGTAGCTGACTCACGGTCTTAAAGACCTGTACTGTGAACCCTCGTCGAGGGGGCGATGTGTGACAACACGCATTCGCATCTGACACAGCATAATTATGCATCGACTCGGGTCTTGTGGCCCACATGTGAAGTCAGCCAGTTCAGTATGTACTGCCATAATTAGAATGTGATTGCTGTAACTTACTGGCTCAAGACGAGCTAGTCAGCACAAGATTGTCTGTGCCGCTTGATGGGAAAACATTCCTGCTGAACGAGTGTCGGTGATTTCAGTGACGTGGTTCGCTTAACATCAGTTCCCTGCGCGTAAATCCGCAGCTTGCCGCTGCGCTCGTAGCAGTTGGCAGCGACATTCCTACGGAGCCGTAGCGACGGTAGTCAGCCTGCTTCTGGCAGCATACGGGGACAGGTACGTTGCAGGCGGAAAAGAGGCGCGTAAAAAAAAAGCTGTCCTTGCCACTAGAAATGCAATGTAGCATGTGCATGCATTACCAAGGAATTTATTTCAGAACCGCAAACACAGTAGACATGTTACCAGACTGAATGGAAAAGCGCGGCAAACGTACCAAACGCGCCCACCTAGGGCTTCGACAAAAAAGTGTCGCGAACGCGTTCTGCTGCCTTTCATGATGCCGGCGGCCAGCGTTTATCTCTGAGCATGTACCGTGTGGAAAGCGGGCCAAGAGAGCTTGCGCACATGTAGATCTAGGGCATGAAGAGCAAAGGCTGGAGCAACGGTACGAATGCTGTTGCTGTGACTCGACGCTCAGACATGCGTGCTTTCTTACAGTGGACAGAGGCATTCGAACACAGCTCATGGCAAAATACGCTGACGCATGGGTGGCCGGCATACCAAGCCAGCCCGCCACAACACTACCGCCCCAAACCATGCTGCCTTTTGCTGTGCCACCGTTCGCGTGTCGCTGTTTCTGCGCCACATCCTTTGTGGGTCGCAGAGCAGCAGCGCAAATCGTATTCAGAGTTGACCTGCTGGCGGCACGCAATAGCTCCTCGTTTTCGGGTTGGAACGCCGGAGCACAGCAGCTGGTTCGGGACCTGATGGGCTGGCGTTCAGCAGGCACGGCCAGCGGCACGTGGCGCAGCCACCTCGGCATGGGGGCGGCGCGGGTGGGCTGTGCTGTGGTGCTTTCGGTCTCTGTGCAGCAAGCTGTGGCCGGCACGGTCGGCTTGGCCCGCAACGCTCCAAGCTTGCAGGGCCAATCCGGCTGTCCTTGTGCAGCGTGTAATCCGCGAAGCGGGGAAGGGCATGGTGGCTTTGAACGGGTGCTGCTTTCGCAACCTTGTCCTCACGCGTCCCGAGCCTTCATTGCCCACTTCCGCGTCCTGCTTTTGCGCCGCCTGTGCATGCCCCTCCCGCTTGGCCCGCGCAGCTGCTCCTGCCGCGGCGTGCTCAATGCGTACGGAGACCATCGAGCTGCATGCTCCACATCAGGCTTGCCATCGCCCGCGTCTGCCAGGAAGCTGGGGCGCGTGTCGGGCGCAACGTCGCGCTCGCCGCCATGAACCCTGCTGTGCCGGTCCACGATGCGCGCCGCATCGAGGTCGTCTGCAACGGCTTGCTTGCCGCTTTGGCACGGTGTACAACTTGCCGTTGACGCCACGCTCGTCAGCCCGGTGACTCGAGATGGCCGCCCACATCACGGAGCTGACCGCCACCCGGGTTGGGCTGCGCGGCGCAAACGACGGCAAGCGTACCCGTTCCCCCGCTCCATCCTTCGGGAGCCTGCTGGACTCGGAGGAAGGCCCCGTCGCAGCGCGGATCTTCACGGCCAGGCCTACCTCTCCCGAACTGTCGCTCACTCCTTCACACTTGCGGGTGTTGCTGTTGCGACGCCTAAGGCTCCCTCTGCCGCTCACGGGCGCATACTGTCGCCACAGACGTCGCCAGGACCCTCTGGGGGATCACCTCGCCGCATGCCCTCGCTCCGGTGTTTTGCGCGCGAGAGGTGCTCCACTTGAGCGTGCTGCAGCACGTGTTTGCCGTGAAGCTGGTGCTAGTGTTGCCACCAACGTCTTGGTTCGGGACTTCAGTGTCGCTCCCTTACAACACACTCTGGGGGGGTGTACAAGTTGCCCTGGTCTTCACGACCCTCGTATCTCCCTTGACAGCAAACGGCGAGCCCCGGCGTGAGGCCAGGCGCACGGCCGGGGCTGCCTTGCGCCACGCTCGCCGGGCGAAGGAGCGCACTTGCCCGGAACTCTGCAACTCCGGACGCTGCCGCTTAATGGTGCTTGGCATAGAAACCGGCGGCTTGCCCGTTGCCGAGCCCGGTCCGCTCCCCCACCCCTGCAGAGTGCCTGCATCTCTGCCTATGTGCTGCGGTGGTCCGCCCTGCTCGCATGTGCCGCTGCCCATGCCTTCGCGAGCAGCCTCCTCTCCCTGCCGGTTTCTGGGGCCGCCAATGTCGACGGAGATCCCCCCCTCCTCACCAACCTGCTGCCTTTCCGTAGCTGGGCCCTGGATTTGGGCGCCAGACAGCGCGAACAGCAAAAAGGTGTGTTTGGGGGGGAAAAAAAGTACACCGAGATCGACCGTAGCCGGCGCTGTCGCCTCGTCATTTTCGGGCTCGAGGTGGGCGGACGCTGGGCTGAGGAAACCACCTTTGTCCGCCGCCTCCTTGCCGGGGCGCATGCAACAAGTGCCCCTGCTGTGGTCCGCTGCTCGGCCCAGGCCGCCTGGGTTCTGCGCTGGAATCGCTTCCTCTCCGTTGCAGCATCGCTGCCACTTTTCTGGCCCCTCCAGTCGGAGCTCGGTGCTGCTGGCCCGCTACCAGGTCTGCACGAGCTCCTTGCAGACGCTCGCTGGCAGGAGGCTCCTGAGCCCAGCCGCCTCCCTGCCCCTGCGTGCAGCGCCCGTCGCCGTAGACTGCAGTTGGCGGCGGCACCTGGACCTTCATTGGCCTTAGCTCGCAGTCGCAAAAAGACGCATGACAAAAAGAAGGCACGTGCGTGCGCGCCGCTCTGGCCGTACGCCTGGATGCCGTTCTCGCATAGCTCGCGCGGCCTTTTGGGGCACCAGAACTGCTCCCGCTGGATAGGCTGTCTTACGGCCAGCCGTCGAGTTGCTGCTGGTGGTTCTGCCGAGCAGCAGCCGTGTTAGTGAACGGTCCGCGAGCATGGGAAGTCTTCAGCCGATACATGGACAGACGCAAAAAGGCGTGTAGATGGAGCGGTATGCTGGCTGTGGTTGCGGCGCGCCCTCCTCCTCGATGTTTCGTGGCTGATGTGCCGGGTCGTTCAAAACTTCGCGTTGGCCGTATTGGGCGGCTTCCTACGCCGGGACCGCTTCTTACGACATTTGCTTAAAGACGCGCGCACAATGAAGCCCAAGGTCGTCCGTTGTTTTGGCATTGTAACAGAATGTGTGCACGACGAATGGTGTAGCTTGGGAGTTGTTCGGTTGTGCTTTGTAGTTGTAGTGAGGGTACGCAACCAGTTAGAGTGTTTGCGTTTTCGTGTGCGTCAACGTTGGGTTTGTCCTTGAATGTGCATGATGTGATTGTTATAAGAGAAGCTATCCGGTTCAATAGAGCGAGTCGCACTTTTATGTGCAGTTTCTACGACGAGGATGCACCGCTGGCACTGGCGATCGCATTGATCCCGTGGTGGTGTTCTTCGCATCGACCTTCGCAGGCACACGATGTTCGTTTTGCAGCACCAGACATCTGCACCAGGGGCATTGGCAGATCTCAGCAAAATCCATTCAACATGAATCAAAAGTTGTGGCTGGCATTGAAAGTTCCTGGGTCCCATGGCAGTGTTGTTTAGACACAGGCGAAACACAGTCGAAATTGGTTCGAAAGCTCATGGCGCATGATGACGTGCCGGAGCCGTAGGGTTAAGTCGATACGCGATTCAGGGTTGAGAATGCAGTGGTCGAATGCAACAATCTGTTAGAATTAGGGGATTTTGACACGTTCCGCATGATTGCACAAAAAGCATATGTAGCTGGCTTCTTCCATTTCGCAGGTGGCGAGAGCCAGTGGAGGAGTGGGCCTGAAGAAGCACCGTAAGATCTCACGGCACGGAGCCGTGACTTCAGGATCTTCCCCAAGATGGCCGCCGAAGACCCAGGCCAGGGCAACCAGCCTTGCAGTGAGTAGTGTGCCGTGTTTAAAGCTGTTGCACAGGGCTCGGAGCGACAACTGGGAGGTGCTTCTTTGTTTTGTTTCCGTTCGGTCAGCTCTCTAGGGTTCCGAGCCAGGGTTTGGAGGAGGCCCGGCCAAAAGCGCACAGAGGAGGCCAAAGTCGTCTCACAAGCGGGCGCCCTTAGCGTCCTGTAGTTGTCCTGTCGTGGGCCTGCGTAACTTTCCTCGCGAGACAGGAACCGGACATTTTGTAAGTTTCGGCTTGCCAAGGTCCCCTCGCAAAGTGGGAGTTACGAAGGTCGTTGTGGCTTCTCGAGCACGATCGGGGTCAGGCAGATGTCAGCTCAGCTTTTTCATCTTGAGCATGGAAAGCCGCTGCCAGTTGCAGGCCAATTTCGCGGATCCAAGGAGCAGGCGGTGAGAAGGGGAGGATAGGGGGCGGCAGGCTTGGAACATGACCGAAGCAGGCGCGTTTCTTCGAAGCTCAGGCAAGGTTCCTTCTTTGCAGCAGGATCTAAGATCTACTGCATCTGCTACTGCTAGCAGCGGGGTCGGCATCTGTGGTTTTAGGCCGCGATCCCGGTCGAAGTGAGTCCTGCACCAGACGTGGAAGAGCTAGGCCGGTCCCCCCGGCCCGAAGCGGCGCGGCCTTGGAGTTTCGGCTTGCCGGCTTTCCGCGGCCCCAAGGCGAGAGCTGGGGGAATGCCCTGCATGAGCGCCTCGAGCAGAACTTAGTCTCCCAAGGCCAAGGAGTCTCGTCTCTGGTCCGGTCTGCCGGTCCCTTGGGTTCTGGGCCTTGAGAAACCCTGTGCCAGGCTTGTTGAGGCCCACGGCTTCGTGCTGCCCTCGTGAAAGTCATCACTTTGGAGTTGAGCCAAGCACATCTTCGCGAGGCAAAGCTGGGCAGTGCCGTTGCTTTTGAATGGGAAGGACGCTTTGTCTGCAGGTATGCTTGCGCATGCTTGCGCGGCTGAGCCTCTCTGACTGGCTGTGTGCCGTTTGCACAACTCTCCCTCCGTCGTTCTCTTTGTTTTGTGTTTACTGTCTACTTTTTATCTTTCCATTTCTTGTCTCGTTCTGGCCATGGGACTTGACATGGCTGGGCTGTTCTGCCTGGCTTCTCTCCGTGGAAGCCCTTATCCTTGGATGCAGACATGCCTGGATGCGAAGTTGGGGGCTTGGCTCCACTCTCTCGACGAGGATGTGATGGTTTGCTCGCAGACGGGCTCGGGCAAAACAGTGTGCTCCTTAGGTTTTATTCAGGGCCATGTTCTGAATTTCTTGCAGAGCATCAAGTTGGTCGCAGGTTGCCTATCTTCTGCCTCTGCTCCAACTGCTCCTTGACGGTTCTGGTCCCCAGCACGACCAGTTTGGTAGAGATGCGCTGCATGACGCAGGCGCGCGTGTGGGCAACCCCTCGCACGATTGCGATGTTCATTTTTTGCTTGTCGGCTCAGACAACCAAGCAAGCACGAGACTGCACGCGTTGCCGTTTCATGCCATGCCTCAAGATCTAAAACTGTGCTTGCTCAGCAAACAAGACCGCGGTGACCGACTTTAGTTGTAGAGTGTACAGGCCCGGTTGATAGCCTTTTGCAAACTGCTGAATGCCGCGTGCGCCTTCTGCGTGCAACGGCCCTCCGTGGGAGCAGCAGCTATGTGTCGCATGTGTGCTCTCATCTCCGATGACAATGTGCCTTGTACTGTTGACGCAGAGCTATCATGTGATGTTTTGCATTTTCTTCGATTCCTGGTGGCAGCCTGCTGAACGAGTCCTCAGATAGCTAAGATGTGAGACCAGGGCCTTGCTATATGGACAACTTTGTACGAAGCTCCCCGCTCGCTTGGCACGCTTTGGCACAACTTGCAATCACCTCGTACCGTGCACACACCCACACACACCCACACACCCACACACAAACATACCTACACACATGTAGAAATAATAGAACATACAAAAGGTATTTATAAGTCTGATGGACAGAATATCATGTAAATGTACATGATATGATATGATATGATATGATATGATATGATATGATATGATATGATATGATATGATATGATATGAAGTGATGTGTTATGGTATGTTATGATGTGACGTACGATATGATATTTCACGCTATGATAACTATATGGTATGGTATGACATGACATGATATGATATGATCTGATGGAGTAGACCAAACTATATTGTAACAGTAACATAACATAACAACACTACAATATAATATCATGTATAAACACATGTGCAGACACACAGACACGGACGCTTGCGTAAATACACACATGCATGCTTTGGTGCCCAGTACCCGCGGAGGGATCCAACGGGAAGAGCACTAGCCATGTTTGGCAGCAGCCACCAACCCGCTCCCTGTCGGGGACGCTCCAGACCTGGCCCAGTACCGTCGCGAGCGATTGCGTCGGGAAGAGCCGTTTGATCTGGCAGAGGTATCGAGGATGGCATGCTGTCTTGCCCTTATGCCGGCCTTCCTAGCAATTTCCTTTGCTGCTAGGAGGTGCAGGTGGCGGGCTTGCCTAGTGTCCTCTCCAGTTCGGTTTCGAGAGCCCTGTCATGGTTAAGGGTGCATCGGGTTTGCCATGATGCACGGCGTTCGTGTGGAGCCGGCCTGCAGCTTTGCGCTTTAACCTTTGGGCGGAAGCAACGGCTGATCCTACTGGGGCCTCACAATACCCAGCCACACCCACTCACTCACTCACTCATTCACACACATGCATGCTTACATACATAATCTTACCTACATACATACCTGCAAAGGCACACACATGCACACAAGCACACGCACACACACACACACACTTGTGAAAAAAAAGCATTGTCTTTAGTATGTACGCATGCGCAGTATGTACATCATCTCTGTATGTGTGTATGTATGTCTGTATGTGCGTGTATGTATGCATGTAAGCAAGAATGTATGTCTGTATGTCTGTACGTAGGTATGTAGGTATGTATGTAGGCATGTATGTCGGTACATAGCATATATGTGGTGTATGTATGTATGTATGCACTAATGCACTAATATGTATCAATGTATGTATGTATGCACCTGTATGTGTGTTGCGAGTATGTATGCATACATATACCCGCACACATGCGATTGCACATGCATGTGCGCATAAACACACACATTTATACATGCACATTTACAGATATTCACATGCACATTCATGCGCACATACATGCACGTGTGCACGAAATTCACTGAACCGAGTATCTTATTTCAGCTGCCGGGTCTACAGATGCTGGCAGGAGCAGTCTTTTCGAGATTTGAGGGTCCTGTGTTTGGGCGAAATAGCAGCGATGGTGCTGTCGGAGAGTGGGGGCTGTCATTGGTACCTCCGTACCGGACTGCTGAGTGGTTGTTCCTGCGCACCGAATGCTGAGAAGCAAGGTCTATACCTAAAGGTTTCAGAGAGTGACAGAGCTGGATGTCATTGGTCTGATTCCTGATGCCGCTGAGGTGCTCCTTGCAGACGTCTTGCTGCGACCGCGCATGTCTTTGGTGCACCAGAGCTATGCCGCGAGAGAGCGCCGTGCTTTGCCCCAAGGGGTTTCACCCAGCACCTCTTCGGCATTGTTTGCTCGTACATGCGCTTCTCTTTGTGTCATTCTGGCTTCCGGAGCCCTGAAAGGCATGGCATACCAGCAGCCGTGCTTGATCCGCGGTTGCAGTTCGGCAGCGAGTCAAAGCGCAGCCGCGACGTTGACTTGTTCTGAGGAATGCCGATGGTTTTGGTGTGGGTTGGTATGCTCAGCAAGCTCCGATACCGTGCGTCTTCACGTCGCTGAAACCCGCCACCTCCCCGGTATCCCAAGCCAGCGGGTCATATGCTGCGTTCAGTGGTGACTGCGCAAGGCATGGAACGACCCCAATCTCCGTAACTTGTCCGAGGAGGTGCGGTGTGCTCAGGCTGGAAAGTCTTGAGCCTCGTAAAAGCTACCCTAAAAGGTGCGATCGCCCCTCATTTTCGCTCACATTCGTGCAGCCGGCCCGTGGCGACCTTGGCTCCTGCAACGTTGCCGAGACCCTTCCTGGAGGCTGCAGAGACTTGTGAGATCCCTGGCGAGGTCTTCAAGCGTCAACGAAGCTGCCTGCCATCCATTCAAAGCGGGCCGCCGCTCGGAAGAAGGGTTCATGAGGCAGTTCAAGGCTTCACGTCATCGTACCAGGTTGGTCTACAGTAGCTTGCGTACACGTCATGCGTCGGCCTTTTGGGGCAGAGCAAGAGAGTTGTGAGAGAGTTGTGAGAGTGGACGGCGATTTTTGCCGAAGCCTTTAGCCGAGGCTTCCTCTTTGCTCACAACGGCCTGGTCGGGAACTTTTCGCAGATCCGACGGCAGCTCCTGGCGGGCTTGAATGAGCAGCTTGGGAGGGGAAGATGGGTGATGTCAGTGCGGGGAAATGAGAAGGAGAGGAGAACAGTCTCGCCGACCCGAGGTATGCATTTAGCATCACGCTGGACCACTCCTGCATTGATTCAGTCGTCGCTTGCATTCAACCGTCGTAGCTTGCTTTTGGGGAGTCAACGGGCTTCGGGACGCGAGGCGACTCGCCTCCCTAGGTCGCTTTTGGGATCTTCCTCACAGAGCTTGGGGTGAGCAGTGACGAAGATGCAACCGCGGAGCATTCCGCCGACGAGATGTGCGGTGCCCTTTCGAGGACAACTGGAACTTCGCCGTTCGCACGCTTCCCAGATAGCGACGGCACAAAAAGCACGGTAGCAGTCATGTTCAAGCGACCTGCAAGTGTGCATCGCGGAACTCTATTGCTTCCTAGCATTGGCAGGACCGTTCTTCGACTGACCCAAGCTGCCGCGGAATACGGACCCGAGGCATGCAGTGCCAGCATCACGACACGTGACCAGCACCTGGGCCCCGCACAGAGGAGTCACTGCTCAACTTGATGGTGACTGCAGCTCGGCATGCAGCGAAGTAGGAGCTTGCGATATGCGTGTCCTACACATGCAGCAGGGGTACTTCCAGGGTTTAGGCTTCCAGTCACGATTGTGGTTCGCTTTCAGGACGGCCAGCGCATCGTGGCTTGTCGCTATGGCACGGCCCCTGCAGAGACGCAGGAGGAGGGCCAGGAGGTTCCCCTGGGCGCAACATTGTACTTGAGCTCCTTGACCGCACAGATGCGAAGGTGGTTCTTGGTAGAGGTGCGTCGCGTTGGGCATTCAGGTGTTGGCTCCCGTTGGGTGGCTTCGCTCGATGATCCTCAGACCTACCGCATGAAGAAGGGTGTGGCCGCCTGAATCGTTGTCCCAAAGTATCACAGGATGTCAGGTTTGGGCTTCGGGGAACTCAGGCCGATATCAAGAGCTGCACGGCGATTCTTTCATCGGAACCGTTAACCCACATCCGGGAAGAGTGGCTTCCAATCGCGCCCAACAGCATCGTCCTGTGCGGTCGCACACGTGGAGAGGGCGGCTCGGCAGAGCTTTCAGACAAAGACGCCTTTGCATGCACCACATACAGGTACATATACACAAGTATTTGTACCTGTATGACTGTACACACGCTTTGCGCGGTGCAGCGGTGCAGCATCGCTTCTTGCTGTTGTTCGCAGTGTGACGATGACATCACTCGTGAGGCCAGGCAATTGACACGTTGATGTTTCCCCTGAAATGTGGACCGGTGGTGGGTCTCAGTGCTCTTACGGGTGGCTCGGAAGAAGTTCATGTCGTGGCAGGATTCATGTAGAGAGCTGTTGTCTTTGTCTTGCTTTCTTGCGCGTGTGCGTGCGTGTGTGTGTGAGAGCATGTTTTGGGTCTGCAGGCGTGGAATCTGCACCAAAAGCAACGAAAAACATCTTGCTTGGCGAATCGCAGGAAGGCTTGTACCTTGTCTGCACTTGTGGCAGCTCTTTCTGAAGCCTCAAGTTGGTTTGGCTTGGACTCATCGTTCTGGGTAATGTAGGAACCTGATTAGGAAACCCTGGGGCAAGAACCCCAACATTATG